TATTTGCAATAAGAAACTTATTACAAAAATCACAATTATTGGGCAAAGGTGGATATGTTGTATTAAACCTAGCAGATAAACATTTAATATCAACAATTGTATCAAGAGTAGCCAATTTATAAAGAGGATAACATTTTTGTTTAATAAAATAGCTTTGATCTTGTATAGCAAATACTTTTTGAAAATGATAAATAAGAAATACTGCTGTTTTTTTAATAAGATATTCTAATGTTGAAAGTGTATATGAATACTGTTTTGTTTTACCAAAAGCATTTTTAAGAATCTGAGTTTTTTTAAAATCTAATAAATTGTAAAAAATATTAGTTTATTTTATAATTATAATAAAAAAATATAAATTTATCAAAATTTTATTATATATTACTTATAATACATGCTTGAGTAATAATACTTTTGGCATTATCATGTATATTTGTACTTCTTCGAATTTGTCTATGCAGATTCTCAACATAATAATTATTGAAATTTACAAGGTATAGTTGCAATATTTTAGCTATTGTCTTTCCAATAAAAAAGAAAAGCCAATGGTGCTTTATTATAATTTTTTCTTTGCTAGTGTAGTGCAAATATCCAAAGCTGAAATATAGTTTCAATGTATTTATTTAATGATCCAGAATGAAACAACAAAGTATAAATATCAAGTGTGGCAGGAACAATATTATCCAATAGATTTATTAAAGTTTTATATTCTATATCTTTACATGTAGATCCAAATTTTTGTATAATAATTTCTGATACTTGTTTTTATCCACTATTAGCTAATTCTAAAAGCAAGTTAATTTTCTATGGCTTTGGCTTTTTTGCTAAGACTTTTTTTTTTCGAATACAAAATGAAAAAGGCTTTTAAAAAAATTATAATATAGTATTATAGCTTTTTTTCTAAAATTTAAAGATACATAAAGTGGTTCAAGAACTGGAATAAAGTTATATATATATGAAGAAATAGAAGAATTGTTTTTTTGTAAATAAAAATGTATAACAGCCATTTATATAAAAAGCTGACCAGGCTATGAAGAGATATTAGCAACTGTTTGTATTACTTTAAGATAATCTGCAAGAGAATACAAATTCATTTTTTGTAATACAATTAATCTAATATCTTTTGCAGAGCACTCTTCTTTCTTTCATAAATTGCATC